ACAGGAAAGATCTTCCATGCCCCAGCTGATTTGGAACCACTCCTGCCAATTTTCTGTCCCAGTATCAGCAACAGTAAAAGATCAATACTCCAAGATGAGAAAAGTAAAGTTGGGTTTTAGACCTAAAAAATAACTGAAAAAAATCATTGAGGCTTTCTTTACAATAATACACAGAATGCAATTCTCAAACTAATGTAATCTCTGGATATGTGGCTCTCTTGATGAACTATATTTGACAATTCACTAGCTATTAGGAGAAATTATAATTCTCTCTGTTCTACAAGACTTTTTAAGACATTGCTTTACATAAACACCACAACTTGAACATGACGTGGATAAATGATAAAGGCCTGAGTTCAATCTTCGGCAACATTAAAAGAAAGAAAAGTCATGTTATTTTTAAAAATTATCTGAAGAGGAAGATTATCTGTAATCATTTCTTGTAGAAAGACCATTGAAATATGCTTTATGAATACCATTTGGTCTTCTCACAAATCAGCAAACATTTAAGAAGGGTGCCTTTGAAACCAGACCAAAAAGAATTAAGAGTTGGACTCAGGCCTGGGTTGCGGCTCAGTGTAGAGCATTTGCCTTGCATGTGGAGGGCCTGGGTTCAATCCACAGCACAAGGAGGTTGTGGGCCAGGGTGCTGATGGTGGTAGTGGTGGCTTGAACTCAAAATGAAACCAGGCAAACTCCTCTGGGCCAGGGTGATTGGGAATGTAAGGAATGTTCCATTTTTGTTATCTTGTCCTTCCCCAAAATCCCACAGGAGGAAGATAGTCTGAAGCAAATCCTTAGTCAGAAACCTTTTAGATTTACAGATAAATCAGAGCATGCGTCAGAGCATGTCAGAGGACCATCCTCAACAGAGTTAACGACCACCTCTGCGTCGATGAGCCTTTTCTAAAATCAGACTTCCCCTTTTCCTATAGAACTGCTTTTTGTTAGCTTGCAAAAAATAAGGTAAAGGCCCTCCCGTTGATCGTCGATTTGCTCGAGCGGGCCCAGTAACGTCTCCATTGGAGACTTTGTTGTTACTGTGTCTGGCATATCGAATACTCTCGGTAGCTTGCCGGGCTCTCCGAGAGGGGCGGAGGAATCGAACTCGGGTCGGCCATGTTGGCCGCGTGTAAGGTGAACGCCCTACCCGCTGTGCTATCGCTCCAGCCCTTGCAAAAAATAAATTAAAAAAAAAAAAAAGACATGTGCTTGCCATTCACAACTTGGTACTTTGTTTACCTTGATTCTCCCATTAAATTTTTTCCCCTTTGTTTTGGGGGTTGCATTCAGCAATGCTAGGGCTACTCCTGGCTCTGTGCTGGGGGTCCGTTCTGATAGTGCTCAGGGGACCATGCAGTGCTAGAAATCAAAACCAGGGCTCTCACATGCAAACTATATTCTTCAATCTTTTGAGCCTTCTTCCCAGTCACTGTCGGGTTTTAAATAAGGAGGTGCTCTGGGAACTTGAGGTCACTTCTTGAGGTGCTCGGTTGAGTAGTACAGTTCTGGCACATTGGTGCTTGGGGCCAGAAATGCGGTCAGCCCAGCATTGCTTGGGGGAGTCTCAATAGCCACCAGGGGGTCATGTGATGCCAGGGATGGAACTGAGGGCCTCACCTACACTAAGCATGCACTTTACCTTACCTTTAAACTATATCCCCAGCCCTCTCCTCATCTGTCTCTTGACTGGCATTAAAGCGGCAGTGGACCGATATGATTGGTTATGTCTTTCAAAATTCTGATCAGGCCAGAAATGCAGTTGAAGGGCAGAGCATTTGCCTTGCATGTATGAGGTCCAGGTTTAGATTCTCAACACCGCCCCCCCCCCCCCGTCCCCAACACAAAAGCATTATTCTTGATTATCATATGCTATAAAAAATACACATAATCTGAAATAAAGGGTTTAGAAACCATTACATATACTAAAAACTATATTCTGCTTTGTTTTGAAACACTGGGCACAATTAACTTAGAAACTGTTCATATCCCACAAGACACTAGTAGAATTCTACAAGAAAAAAACCTCCAACCCCATTAAAAAATGGGGACAAGAAATGAACAGAAGTTTTCTCAAAAAAGAAATACAAATGGCCTAAAGGCACATGAAAAAATGCTCTACATCGCTAGCCATCAGGGAGATGCAAATCAAAACAACAATGAGATATCATCTCACACCACAGAGATTGGCACACATTCAAAAGAACAAAAGCAACCAGTGCCGGCGTGGATGTGGGGAAAAAAGGACACTCTTTCACTGTTGGTGGGAATGCCCACTAGTCCAACCTTTCTGGAAAACAATATGGAGACACCTTCAAAAACTAGAAATTGAGCTTCCATATGACCCTGCAATACGACTTCTGGGAAGATATCCCGAGGATGCAAAAAAGTACAGTAGAAATGATATCTGTACCTATATGTCCATTGCAGCACTGTTCACGATAGCCAAAATCTGGAAACAACCCAAGTGCCCTAGAACAGATGACTGGTTAAAGAAACTTTGGTCCATCTACACAATGGAATACCATGCAGCTGTCAGGAGAGATGAAGTCATGAACTTGCTTACATGGAGAGGATTGTGCTATGTGAAATGAGTCAGAAAGAGAGGGACAGACGTAGAAGGACTTTACTCATTTGTGGAGTATAAAAAACATAACATGAGGCTGACACCTAAGGATTGTAGATACACGGGACAGGTGGATTGTTCCATGGCTGGAAGCCTGCCTCATGAGCAAAGGGGAGAATGCAGCTGGAATAGATAAGGGATCGCTAAGAAAAAGATGGCTGGAGGAATCGGTCAGGATGGGAGATGTGTACAGAAAGTAGATAAAGGACCAAACATGATAACCTCTCAGGGTCTGTATTGCAAACCATAATGCCCAAAAGTAAAGAGAGATTATGGGGAATCATGTATGCCCTGGAGGGTGGGAAATGGGGGGTATACCAGGGATATTGGTGGTGGGGAATGTGCACTTGTGGAGGGATGGGTGTTTGATCATTGTGTGATTGTAACCCAAACATGAAAGCTTGTAACCATCTCACGGTGATTCAATAAAATTAAAAAAAAAAAAAAAAGAAACTGTTCATATCCCAAGTTGGGATAATTCCTTTCTTTCATTTTATGGGGTCATGACACCTCTTGTCTCTTATTTCCTAAATAAAACAATTTTATTTGAAAAATTGTTAATAACTTAGTAAACATATTTCATGGCTCACCAATGAACCACAATCCACAATTTGAAAATCTCTGCTCTAAAAGAACAGCAACTTGTCAGAATATGAAAAGACAAATTTGCTAAACTTGGCAATCTTGACACACTAATTACACCCCAAAGTCAATATACATTTCAGGGTGATTCAAGATAAAAGCCAACTATACGGAAAGTTCCCAGTGACACTTACATTAAAAGAGAATTTTGAATTGAGAGGAAAGGTGAAATATAAAAAAAAAAAAGATAAAAATAAAATACTTGAAGTTTTGAAACAAACCCATTAGCTCCCATATTCATTTCATATTCACTGTAAAATCTGACCCTCCCCCCCAAAAAAAAAGTACAAATTAACCAATGTCTAGTCCTTTATACACCACCGCTACAAATATGATTCTATTAAAATCTGAAGGTTAGCTTTGGAGAATAGGGAAAAGTGAGTAGGGGTGGTCTAAATGATTTGTATTGGCACTGAAGTCATATCTCAACCAGCTAGCCTTGCACTAAGAACAAGGCAAATACAGAATGGAGAATTCGCTGCTAAAGCCCCCTCTTTTGTTAGCACTCGAACCTAAGAAGGTTTGCAGGGCAACTCTATGTGACAGAAAGAGAAGTTACTATAAAATGCCCTACAATTTTTAGCTGAACTCTTCCCTTGACCATACTGCAGAAATACAAACAAACCAACATAAGAAGATTACTGGGGTGAATCATGAGTGAGAGATAAGCAACTGAAAAGGCCAAACGGAAAAAAAGAAAAGCTGAAAGGAGATAATTTCGTAGTACATACTGCTCATTCTCTAGAAATAGAATTGATTATCTTCTGAATTACTAACAGCCCTATCATTAAAAGTGTAAGATTTCTTACATTGCTAGATTAGAATAAAGAACCTTCCAAGGGATTAGAAAATCCCTTCCAACTCAGAGAAATCTGTAATTATAAGCTTAAATCTCAACATCAAATAACATTTTGGGTCAGATGGTCTTTTAGGTACTCACAATAAATTTCATCATCAAAAGAACTTGTAATGAAAATCACATACCACAAAACTTTCAAAGTCAGTGACTATACAACTAAAAGATTTTTTGTTTTAATTTTCTAAATACTGCCACTTTATTTCATAGGTTTCACATATATATATATATGTAAAATAATTTCAAAATACTAACACCAGCTTTCCATCTCTGTAAACAAATAACTTGCTTTGAGCAAAAAAAATAATCAACATTATTGCACTCTGCTATGTTCTATTATTCTTTTAAAATCATTTTCCCTTGGGCTGGGGAGGTAGCTCAGAAGGCAGGAGCACATGCTTTGCATGCAGGAGGCCCAGATCCCTGGCACAACATGGTCCCCAGGGCACAGCTGCCTCCAAGCACTGAGCACCGCTGGGTGTGGCCCCAAAACAAAACAAAAATTTCATTTGTCCTTGAATTCAAGTTTCATAGCATTCTTCTCAGTTTTCTCAATCAGCAACCACTGAAAAATTATAGTAGCTAAGCTCTATTGCATAACTAAAATTTTATGCTGCTGATCAAACAAACCATTATTATACTAAGGACATCTTCGCTTTAGCCATTTAAAACATGGCCTTAAACTCTGCATATCCCTTAATAATTTCATTTCTTTTCACAAGTTCAGGAAATTTCATTTCTAGGTCACAGGTATGTCTGTTTCTCCATGTTATGGATCAGTGGCCACTGTCTCCCTCTTTCTTTATCCTGAGGCTGTCTGGAAAACTATCTAAACACTTACTAAGAGAAAGACAGGGAAACCAATGAGGTACTCACATCAGATTTGGAGGACATATTCTCCTCCACGTCGGAATCATTGGGATCCACTATATCATCAAAGGGTGGCAACGTTGATTTCTTCTTCTCTGATGGCTCACTTTCAATTTTGACTTTTCCCATCTTGACATGAGATTTATCTTTGATCTGTTTTTTGTCAGCAGAACAAGTGAGTATCAGTGGCGGCGCGCTAGAAAAACTTTTAAATAAAGCCTCTGAGCTACTCTTTTTCCTTTTTTTCGCTGAGAGTTCTTCAGAATCGGAAATGGGGGGCCTTTTACTAGGAGCCTTTTTCTCTTGCTGTCCACTGCTGATCGTGAGTAAGTTACTGTCTGGTTTGGGCTCCTTGGACATGGGTTTCGGTTCCTTGAAGGCCATCTTCGGAACAATTTTTTCTTCTTTCAGTGGTTTATTTTCTTTGGGTTTCTTAGAAGATTCTTTGGAAGATTTGGTGTGATCCCTGGAAGGTTCTTTGAAGGCACTTTTATATTCTCGGGAGTCTTTAGAAGGTTTTTCCTTGTGCTCCTTCATTAATTTGTGAGGCTTTGAAAAACTGGTACTGCTGCCGCTGCTGCTGCTGCTGCTGCTACTGCTGCTACTGCTGCTGCTGCTGCTACTGCTGCTGCTGCTGCTGCTGCTACTGCTGCTGCTGCTGCTACAGCTGCTGCTGCTGCTGCTGCTGCTGGTATGAACGCTCCTGTTAGGGTCCTGCAGAAGGCGAGACCAAAGGCAAGAGTCAGAACGCAACAGCAACCGCGGGGCCAAAGCTAGTGCATTGGCATTTGACTGACCCAAAGGGAACGCACGCCTTGCAGGCTCTCAAATTCGCTTTCATGGAAACCGGCAAGCACCATGGAACAGGTGGGCACGGGGTATGTGAGACATGTAGTGCATGAGGGCGACTCTCATCGAGGAATTTAATGAGGCAAGCTGCTTTCTTAATCATGACAGGCCTGGTGCTCTAAATATTTCATTCAACAAATGGTCGCTGGCACTTGTCTAGTGCAAGATATCAAGATGAAATACATATCTACCCCTCTTCTTAATAACTGTGGCATGACTAGGATGCAGAGTGGCCATAACAGTCACCAAAAAGAAGCTATGATCGCAAAAAAGAAGGGGCGTAATTAATTATGTTGGGGTGCAGAGCAAACAACTCAGAAATTTAGAAGGAACTAGCTAACACTGGAATTAGGTCCTAAGGGGCAAGGGTAAAATACTAGAAAGCAGAATTAAAAGTACTTGGAGACACAGAAACGATAATGAACTAGAACAACGAAGAATTAAAGCGCAGACTATATTTGGAGAACAGCACGCAGTTATAGCAAACAGACAAAGAGACAGACAAAATAGCCCAGGGACTGAGAATGTAGCTCAGGGATAAAGTACTTGACTTTCACATGCGAGGCCCTGGATTAATCCCTGATGGAGGAAGGGAAGAATGGGAGACAGAAGAGAGGGAGGGAAGTAAGGGTGAGAAAAATGACGAGGATCAAAAAAACAAAACAAAAAATTAAAAAAATATTCATTTTGAGTGAAAATGCAGTTATTATTAGCAATCCAAACCTCCTCAGTTAGGAATGATGTCTCATATCCTCTAACAAATTAAAAGGAAATCTAGGGCTGGCCTGGGTCTTGGTAGTAAAGCACTTGCCTTCCATGTGTGAGTTCGACATCCCCCACCACATGCAGAACACCAAGCCTGGAGAAGCTTCCGAGCACTGCAGGGTATGGCCCAAGCACAAAACAAAGAAACCTACCAGAATAAAGACTGTGCCAAATTTCTCTGCAAATGAAGTAAAAATTTGTCTTTAGCAGTTACTATTGTGTAACCACGAAGAAGTTAAATGTGGTCTTGAAACGTGTTCAAGTTTTTCATTCACAGAAACACCTCAGAATATAAAACCTATATATAATATTTTATTTAGAAACAAAATCTAAGTCCATACATAACTGTATTTGTGAACCTCCACTATGAAACAGAAATAGATCCTGGACATAACAAAATCTATCTATATATCCAAAATAGAGCTTTTCTTGTTTTTTTTCTACACACTAGGAAAACAAAGGCAAATAAATGTCCAAATTTTCACTAAAATTCACATGCTTTTTTAAGAGTTGCCTTGGTGGACTCCAATATAGTACATGGGGTAAGGCATTTGCCTTGAATGTGGTCAACCCTGGTTCAAATCTTCAGCATCACATATGGGTCCCTGAGCATAGAGCAAGGAATAGCTACATACTACTGCTGAATGTGGTCCAAATTCCCCAGCCAAAAAACCCAAAAATGTTGTGAGAGACTTAAATAAAGGCAAGTGTTCTAGCCTTACTGCTGAGCCACATCCTTTACTCTTACACCTTCAGTCTTTTTAAGATTCACCTATGAGTCAACACTAGTGATTAGTGTTGGAAAAGTATACATAGGAAACTGAACTATGCAAAGCATGATGCCTTAATATTTTAGAAAAAAATTAGTGCAGGAAATTAAAAAATATTCTAAAAATTCATAATAAATTAGTAATTCAATTTCTTTCCAAAATTCACCTCTAACTTACTCACTTACAGATCAATGATATTTGAACCAATCCTGTATACCTTACAAATCTAGAAATTCCAGAAAAGACAGCAGACGACCGTGGCTATATTTTTAACTAGAATTGACAAGTCAGTGCTATTCTAAAACAAAGAAAACAACCACCCATGTATATGTAAATACAATGGAAAATATACAAAATAAAAACTTATTGTCCTATTAATGGAAATATGTATTTTTTATTTGCTAAATGAGAACAGCAAGTGACATATACCAAGTATTTCATTTATTTGCTCAAGTGAGCATTTGGTTTTAAAATTCTGAAATGAATGGAGCTGAGAGATGGCTCAAAGGGCTGGAGCTTCTGCTCTGAGGGAAGCCAGGGTTCAACCCCCAGCACCACATGGTTCCTGAGCACAGTCGAGTTGAGCCCACCACCAGCACTGAGATGGGGGCAGCTTCTGAGCACCATCCTGGTGTGGCCCCCCAAAGAAAAATATACTAAACCTGATGAAGTTTCCAATCAAATAACATGCCTGAGTATATCTAACTAGATCATTCTTCACAAAACACTTAAATCTGCAATTTAAAAGAAGACTGCTAAAGGTAATGTCCAGATTGCTAAAACTATATTATTTTACAAATTGTATTAGAAGACATTTCCTGGCATGTTAAGCAATATAATAAATAATTAAAATAAAGCACAGTGGACAAACTAAATAAAGCACAGTGGACAAACTAAATTAAGAAAGAACATTGAAATCTAATATCCTTGATTTTTTTTTAAAAATTGACTTGATTCATTGAATTTTGATTCTTTAAAAGTGGGCATTCTAATTATGGCTTCAGTGCACACAAGCATTGCTGTTCAGTATACAGACTATATGAAATGTTACCCATTATTTTCAAGTGTGACAGTGAATTTGTCAAAGACTACTCATCTTACTGGTTTCGATAAATGTTAATTTCTAAAACAAATACAGAAATTTTAACCTAGCAAATTTTCTAATTTTAAACATTAAAAGTACTTTCCAAGGAGAAGAGAAATAGTTCAAGGGGCGGGAATGCATGCTTTGCACCCAAGAACCACAGGTTCAATCCCTGGCACCACATAGAATCTCCACCCCTCAAAATACTATCAGAAATGACCTCCAAGCAATAAGCTAAAAGTAGCCCCTAAGCAACCAGTAGGGTTGGCCTCCAAACAAAAATAATGATACATTCTAGCATGAGAGAGAGAGAGAGAGAGAGAGAGAGAAAGAGAGAGAACTAGAAAGTGAGTCCCATCTCCCATTCTTGTTCTTCTTCTAAAACTTTTCTGTAAACTCTCAGGATTCCCACAGAAGGAGCCAGAAGGTCAAACTCCTTGTGTCTTCTGAGGCCTAAGAAGTGATTAAAAACTGGATCAGCTCACAGCTCAATTTTTTTCAAAAGAGATTCTAGAGTAGCAGATTGAAAGAATCTACATGGTAATCTCTGTTCTTGCTGTGCACATGCAAACCAAATGTCCAATTTTGTTACAAGTAAACTTAATTTGGTAAACTTAATTTAATCTAGCAAACAAGTAAACTGCAATTAGATGACAGAAATGAGGTGAGAATGGGAAGGAAATGTTCTGTTTAAACACACTTTTGTTTCCATCAGATTCTACTTTTACTCCTCATTTTCACTTGTGAATTGAGATGGATACTGACCTTTTCTAATATGTGACTTTCCAAAGTAACATTTCAGGCTTTCTTCTAGTCATTTTGACTTTTGTTCTGTCTTTTTAAAATAAATCACACAAGTTTTTTGTTTGTTTTTGCTCAGCATTACCTGAGTATCTGGTAATGCTCAGGGTTTACTTCTGGCTCTGTGCTTAGGGATCAGTCCTTGCAGGGCTCAAGGAACCAGTGATAGCATGAGAGAGAGACACACACAGAGAAAGAGAGAGACAGAGAGACAGAGACACAGAGAGAGAGAGAGACAGAGAGACAGAGAGAGACAGAGGCAGAGAAACAGAGAGACAAAGAAACAGAGACAGAGACAGACAGACTTAGAACCATTGATAAAAGTGGGTCCCAAGCGTAAAGATTTTATAAATATTAGATTACACCAGCCCAGGAGCTTCCAATTAAAGACGTGCTGATCAACCCCTTTCCAGAGTTCCAGAAATCTCCCTGACTCAGTACCCAGCAAGAATTTCAATTTGCTCCCATTTCTAACTCCCCACGCACCGCCCCCCCCCTCGCCACACACACACACACACACACACACACACACACACACACACACATCTTTTGACTCCATAAGAATGTCTGTTATTCTGAGACCCACCTGCAGCACTGTCTCAAGGTAAACAACTGGTCAATGGGATGAATCTATTCTCAGAACTGGGACATTAATTTTAGGAAATAAATTAAACAACTCCACTTCTGAATTGTGCAACTTTTGGAGATGCTCCAAAAGTGGGACTGAAGAGAGAAAAAGCAGCAAATTTTTGATTTCTTGGGAGGGACCCTGAAGGCAGGATGAAGATTTGCTTTAAGGAGTCATTGATATGCAAAGAGCTCCCTTCAGGCAGGGTCCCAAGAAGATCATCCCTCTATATCTCAACAGTAATCCATAACCTTTTCATCCTAAGCATTTTAGGTTAAGCATCTGCTTCACCTTCTAATTTTAAGAGGGTATCCAGGAGACATTAGTATTTGGTTCTCAGTACCTCCGGCTCTCTCCCATCTATACAGGATGTATACAAGCTACTGTTTTTAACTGTGAATTATTCCTTAAAGTCTATTTTTATTATTGTGGAAGCCACTCAGGGGTTGTGCTCAGGGGTTCTTTCAGAGCTTGTAGTAGCAAGTGTAGGACATTTCCCTGGCACATGGCTGACCTGGGTTCAATCCCTGCCATTATATATGTTCCGCTGAGTCTATGGCCCTACCTCCCTGAAGGCACCCAATTTCATCTGAACTCAGAAGCTAAGCAGGATCAGGCCAGTTAGTACTTGAATGGGAAGTCATATGATCCCCTGAGCACTGCTGGGAGTGATCCCAGAGCATAGGGGTCTATCTGTTGTCAAGTGCTAAGGAATAAACCCAGGGACACCTGCAAGGCATGGGCTCTACTACTTGGGCCATGCCCAACATATTTTTTTTTAACTTTTATCATTATTACTTAGGTGACATAGTTACAA